TAGCTCTGTTCTAGGCAGCCTCTCAAGGCATCACCACCAAACCAAGGGAACACGGACCAGGTCTGGCTGGCTGGGCCTCCTGGGGACCACCTGACCACCTTGGCATGTCGAGGGCTGCTTCTCACCTGCCCTGAAGCCCTGGGGCTCTGGGCTTTCCTTCCTATGGGAGAGAACTGTCCTTTTCCTCCATGGGCCATGGCCAAAACTGGGATTCCTCCTCCAAGACTCTGTACATCCAAGGTTTGCTCCCAAGTGAAAGCTGCCAGGACAGACAGGTCTGGCTGTCCTTGGCCTCTTGGAGGCTGCCTCTCATGTGCTTTTGAAACACTGGGCCTTGGTGCTTTCCTTCCAATGAAAAGAATTGTCCTTCTTCTCAAAGTGACCATGGTCAAAATTGAGATTCCTCCTCCCAAATTCCATATATCCCAGTATCCCTCCATGATAAAAGCTGCCAGGAAGAACAGGTCTGGTTGGCTGAGCCTGACAGGAGCCACCTCTTTCTTCTTCTGCCTTTGAATCACTTGGGCTCTGTGCTTTCCTTCCTGTGTAAAAAAAAACTTCCTTCTCCTTCGGCTGTCCATGTCTGAAATTGGGATTCCACCTCTAAAATTCTGAATATCTAAGGGTTACTCCTAGGCAAAATCTGCCAGTACCATCAACTCTGGCTGGCTTTGGCCTCTGGTGGCTGCCCCTGCCACACTGGGGCTCGGTTCTTTCCTTCCCATGGAGATCACTGTGACACTGTGGGCACCTCATGGAACCAAGGGGATCATTGTGGCACCACTGGAGCCCATGGAACCAAGGGGCCATGGTGACACCGTGGGGCTTCATGGACCCAGAGACCATTGGGACCCTTCAGGGCCTGGTGTCACCAAGGGGGCATTGTGACACCTCAGGGCCTCCTGGAAGCCAGGGACCATTGGGACACTGTGGGGCCCCATGGAACTGAGGGAACATGGACCAGGTCTGGCTGGCTGGGCCTGCCAGGGTTCACCTGACAGGTCTGGCTGATCTTGGGATGCCAAGGGCTGCCTCTCATCAGCTCCGTGCTTTCCTTGCTATGGAAAAAAAAGTCCCTCTTTTCAGATGCCCATTGCCAAAACTGGTATCCTCACTAAAAAATTCCCTGTATGCAAGGGTATCTCCCAGAAGAAAACCTACCAGCTCTAGATTGCCTCTGGTGGTCACCTCTCATCCGTCCAGGAAGCACTGGCGCTCTGTTCCTTCCTATGGAAAGAAAAAACAACCTTCATGTCCAGGGTCCATGGCCAAAATTAGAATTTGGCTTCCCAAATTCCATATATCCAAGGATTGCTCCCAGACAAAAGTAGCCAGGACAGACAGGTCAGGCTGGCCCTTTGCTCTAGTGATTTTCTTAGACTCTGAGCTGAATGTTTTCATTTGAAAATACCTTGGAGAGGGCCCAGAGATCTCTCAATGTGGGATTTTGAGGCCTCGGGAACATGGCCACTACATATGGACAAAGGAGCTCTGTGCTCTGTGCTGCTGTGGTGGTTTTGCATCACAGAAGTGATGTCCTGAGAGAAGCTGCTAGCAGTTTCCTCCGTGTCTGACAAAAAAACAATCAGTAATTAGCTTTGAGAATTGACAGTCTGTTAAACACTAAGCAAACTGCAGACGCCTCTGTGCAGACCCAAGTTGAAGATGAGAAAGCCTGGCTGGGTCTCTCTCCCTTCTGGCCCCAAAGAGGTGCCAAGGCCGGCCCAGCCCCATCTCAGCCTTCTGGCCTGGCTGCTGAGATCCTGGCCCTGCCCCAGCGCGGCCCAGCCTGACACAGCCCCAGCGCAGCCGCTGCAGAAACCTCCATGGGAAAACAGCTCCGGCCGCAAGGACCGAGCCCGGCCGGGCTCACGGAACCATCTGCAGCCCCGGGCAGATATTGACTCTGCCAGTGCTGCCATCCTCCCTCCAGTGAGAGAAAAGGACACAGGGCAGGCACACAGAGCAGCAACATGAACACACCGAGGTCAGTGAAGAGGAAGTTGAGTCCCAGATGGGAGGGATGAGGAGATGCCTTGATCTTGGGGCTGAAATCCTCTGCTAAAGCTATGGAGGATGTCATTGATACATCAAACTGAAACACGGATGAAAAATCAAACCCTACAATTCCCTTTAAGATTTGTAGGGAATGGGTATGTTTATTCACAGCGCTGTGGACACATATCGGGACTCATTGCCCTTTAATAGACATGAGTCCCTCTGAGAACTCTTGATCCTTCTTTATTACCCTTACTAATTTCCATATGCATAGCATTTCACAATAGGTTAATGCATATTCATTACGCTGATTTCACATTACACTTACAGCTAGTTACACTTGTACTCAGTTTTTGTCAGAAAGTACAGAAAGAACTCCTGGGTCACTCTGCCCTGTCTGTTTCAAGGTCCGAGGAGTCTTTCTTATCTCTTATCTTTTAGTGTGGAAATTTGCATTCTTTCTCCTTAGCTGGGGTGGTATGGCTAGGGCTGCAGTCACCAGACTAAACAGCATATTTAGCAAGCTCAAAGTGGCACATTTCACATAAATCTAAATGGATTTATACCATGTTAAATTTTCACTCTCTCTCACCACAAGTGCTGCAGGAATTGTCTGCAGGCTCCTGCAGTGCCTGGTGCTGCTCCCTTGCCAGAGGCACCCCAGGCCAGGGGGGCACATCTGGGCTGCTGTGTCTGGCTGTGGGGCTCCCTGTTCTGGGCAGTGAGGAGGAGCTGCAGAGGCTCTGCAGGACTGACAGGATGGGCTTTGGGGCTGTGAGGAGAAGCTGAGGGACCTGGGCTGCTGGAGCTTCTGAAGAGGAGGCCCAGGGCTCCTCCTGCAACTGCTCCAAGGGTGGATTCAGAGAATCACAGAATCAGCAAGGTTGGAGAAGACCTTGGAGATCATCAAGTCCAACCTGTGCCCTGACACTGCCTTGTCTCCCCTGAGCCTCCTCTTCTCCAAGATAAACAACCCCAGCTCCCTCAGCTGCTCCTCACAGGACTTGTGCTCCAGACCCCACCCCAGCCGTGTTGCCCTTCTCTGGACACGCTCCAGCCTCTCCCTGTCCTTCCTAAATTGGGGGGCCCAGAAATGGACACAGCACTCGAGGTGCTGCCCAGTGCCCAGCACAGGGGAAGAATCACTGCCCTGCTCCTGCTGGCCACACCATTCCTGATCCAGGCCAGGAGCCATTGGCCTTCTTGGCCACCTGGGCACACGGCTGGCTCATGTCCAGCCTGCTGTCCATCAGTCCCTGCAGGTCCCTTTCTGCCTGGCTGCTGTCCAGCCCCTCTGTCCCCAGCCTGTGGCACTGCAGGGGTTGTTGTGGCCAAAGTGCAGGACCCGGCACTTGGACTTGTTAAACCTCACCTTGTTGGGTTTGGGCCCTGGATCCAGCCTGTCCAGTCCCTGTGCAGAGCCCTCCTACCCTCCAGCAGATCAACACTCCCAGACAACTTGGTGTCACCAGGGTTCCATGAGGCCCCAGAGTGTCCCAATGGTCTCCATGACTCCATGAGGCCTCCCAGTGTCACAATGTCCCTTTGGTTCCATGGGACCCCTTGGTGTCACAAAGTCCCTTGGATCCTTGGGCCCTGCAGTGTCACAATGTCACCGTGGTCCCCAAGGCCCTGCAGTGTCACAGTGGATCCTTGGTTCCATGAGGCCTGGCAGGGCAGCAATGCTCTCCTTGGTCCCACAGTGTCACAGTGGCCTCTTGGTCCCCAGGGACACTGTCAGTCTGTGGTGGTGGCGGCACAACTTTCCCTGGGAGTGTTTTGTGCTAACGGGCAGAGCCACGGGAGCCCAGCACACACACACACACACGGAGCAGCTCGGCAGTGAGGACACGGGAGGGCCCAGGCATGGAGCTCCAACGAGGGTTTATCAGGGTCTGACGCTCCAGGGCTCTGGGGGTTAAAGACAAAGACAAAGGAGGGTTTAGGGTGTAAATACGGGAAAAGAGGGGCTGGAGGAGAGCGTCAGGGATCTCAGGGTTTAGGGGTGGTACACAGGGAAAGGGACTAATAGGGAATGGCAGGGTGGATAGGTGGGCACATAAACCAATGGGAAAATAGGGAAGGGAGAACTTGCTAGAACATGAACATATCAGGGTAAAAGGGGTAGGAAAGGCCAACGGGCCAATGGGGACAGAACTGGGACAAATTAACACAGTGCTGCAGAGCACCATGGGGGAAGCTTCTGTCCTCACCCTGAGCTGTGAGGAATGCCCAGAGCCTACGGTGCATTTCTCCAGGGGATCGCTTTTGCCCTCTCCCCAGTAAGCTCACAGGCCTCCACACACACACACTGGAGATGTCTGGGGCCATTCATCATTTCTCTGCTCTCAGCACCGAGGCAATGGACTCTGGCACAGCTCTGAGTTCAGGCCCATGGCAACCACCCCTGGCCATGGGGCTCCATGGAGCTGCTCTCAGGAAACCCCCCAAGAGCTGGGGAGTGCCCCAAAACTGCCTCAGGAATGTGAGACACCCCAGCAGCTCCTCATGAATGTAGACTATTCAAACACTCACTCAGTAATGGGCTCCCCCTATCTTAATCACCCCCAAACTTTGGCTGTCTCATTCCAGACCCCACCCCACCTCCCAAATGCCAACCTCTACCCATGCGACCCCTCCTGGACATCAAGACCCCTTCCCAAGCTGTACTTCCCCCATTTCACACCTCCCAATCCCCATCCCACCCATCCCCCCACCCAATGCTCATCTCACCCTCCTGATTTGCATCCCGCATTGCCCAATCCCCTTCCAACCCAATTTCACCCTCAGAGGCAGTGGAATCGAGTAATTTTGGGGTGCGATTCAGCAGTTTTTAGTGGCACTGAGTGGATTTGAGCAGACAGATCAGTCCCTCTCATCTTTTGGAGTGCCAAGAAATAAAGACAACTAAACCAAATAGCCCCCGAACTCCCCCATACCCTCACAGATATCTCCTGGAACCCAAGATTCCTCAAAACACAAGTAAAATGTGAGGCTTTAGATGCTTTTGATGAATTTGTTGATTTTAACCCCAATTTTCTGTGTTTTGAAGGGAGGAATATAAAAGATAATAATAGGCAAAATAAAATAACAGCAGCCACTTCCCTCTGTGTATCACAGGGCATGTGGGTCACCAGGGCTCTGACCAGGGTGGGTCCTCTGATGGGGATGGAGCTGGAGCAGCACACGAAGCTCTTCCTGCAGGTGGGGTTCTCGCAGGGCTTCCCTTACCGGTGCCTCCGCTGGTGCCGGGTAAAGAATGAGCGGTCTGAGAAGCTCTTCCCACACCGGGGACACTCGTAGGGCCTCTCCCCGGTGTGGATGCGCCAGGGGACAATCAGGTTGGACCTCTGGCTGAAGCTGTTCCCACATTCCCCACACTCGTAAGGCCGTTCCCCAGTGTGGATCCTCTGGTGGACAATCAGGTCAGACCTGTGGCTGAAGCTGTTCCCACACTCCCCACACTCGTAAGGCCGTTCCCCAGTGGGGATCCTCTGGTGGCAGATCAGGTTGAAATTCTTCCTGAAGCTCTTCCCACACTCCGAGCACTCGTAGGGCCTCTCCCTGTCATGAGGCTGCTCACGGACCACCAGCTCTGATCCCTGGCTGAAACTCTGCCCACCTTCCCAGCACAGGGTGGGTCTTTCCTCCTCAGATCCCCGTGATCTGCGTTTGCAGCCCCTCCTCCTGTGGGATCTCTGGGGCTTTTCCTCCCCATTCGATTCCTCTGCCATGGAGCCACTCAAAACAGCCTCTTCCACGATGTTCTGCTGGGGGATTTGTCCTCCCTGCTCTCCATCCTCAGCTCCTGCTCTGGGGTAGGAAGGACAAGGAGAGGATGGGATTTGCCTCCGTGCCACAGGGAAGGGCAAGGAGATCCCCCCAGTGCGTCCCCGGCAGGAGGGCACCGGCAGCGGGGCTGTCCTGCAGCCGGGGCCGTGCTGGGCTGGGAGATGGAGCAGGAGAGAGGGGGAAAGGGGCACTGACTTCCTCCTCACCTGCCTCGGTGTCCTGGGCCATCTTCCTCACAGCCTCCTCCTCCATGCAGCCAAAGTTTGGGAGTGGGAAATCCTGGTGTGGGGAAAAACAAGGTGTGAACACCTTGGGTTGGGGATTCCTCCTGCCCAAATCCATTTCCAGAAGTCTCCTGGTGTCCATAAAAACCTCCAAAAATCACGAGTGAATCAAAAAAAGCCACCAGGAGTGTCCCATTTCCAGTCTCATTCCTCTGGGGTTCTGGTGTCCCCCGTGTCAGGGCTGCTGGGGATCCTCGAGGGTCCTGGGGATCCCCCTTCTCCAGGGTCCTGCTTAGGGATGCTGGGGGGTTTTGCAGTACAAGGGTCCCCCTCTCCAGCCTCCCCCCAGTCCAGGCACTTGGGGCTCCCCCTCTCCCCACCACCCTGTCCTGGTTTAGGGCAAATCTGGGAGAAAACCCCAAAGGGGATTTTCTAGAAAGCAGATTCAAGCGGCCTCTCCCCCAACCAGTTCAGGAAAAGATTTCCTTGGAGAAAAGTAGAAAAAAACCTGTTTATTTAACAGGCAAAGCATTCACCAGCACAAAACATGAACAATATTAAACAATAAAACCTGTTGTTGCTCCAAAAGAGATGACAAACTCAGAAAGTCCCTCCGTGGGCTGCAGCTCGGCTCACTCAGGCTCTGATCAGTCCCTCCATGGCCCAGGCCCAGCCCGGTGGGCCACAGGTGTGAGCTGCCGGTGCTCTTCTGGTGTTCAGTCCAGAGCAGGTTTAAACAGCTCCAAAGAAAAAGAAAAACCACAGCCCAGGGAACTTCTCTGCCTCAGCGAGCTAAAAACTAACTAAAAGCAAAGGAGAGCTCTGTCCTGCTGTCTGTTGGCAGACAACTGATACCTCAGGTTTAAGTTTTTCTGTTCTGTTTCAGTGTGCAGCTTCTAGCTTTATATTAAGTGTTCCTGGGATCTTTTCACAGGGTGGTGAAGACAAAACAATCCTGTTCTAGCTGGAGAGTCAAGGACAATCTCTTCAAACTTCAGGCCCAAAGCACAAACAACAGGAAAAGCATAGGGCAGGCAAGCAAGGAGGATGAAAGTTCATAATTTGAAGCTATTAATTGGGCCGTTAAATCCTGTATGCAAATGGACTAACACTTATAAAAATGTGAGATCTCATGACCAAGCCCTCTTTTGCTTCCATCTCGGAGCCATCCGGGCAGAGCCCCGACCGTGGCTCCGGCACTGCCGGGGTGTGGCCTTTGAAGGCACTTCAATAAATATCCTCTTTATTCCTCTTGGCTCCGTCTGGCCTCTGTCCCAGCTCCTTAAGGCATCTCAGCAGCCCAGGAGCCGGAATGTGGAGGGGTGAGTGCAGCTCCTGAAAACAAACTGCGCGCTTCTTCCTCCCCCTCTTCGCTCTCAGAACCAGCCCTGAAGGTGCAGAACTCATTTCGGGGCCAAACGGACCAATGGGGGTACGAGCATCGTGAGGTCACCCCAGGACAGGCCCTGCCAGGCTCAGGGGTCCCGTCCCCGCCTCATCTCCGGCTGCCGGGGGTCCCCCAGCTCCGGTATCGCCCCTTCCCCTCTGCCGCCCCGGGGGTCCCACGTTCCGCAGCCCCGGCTCTCACGGGGATCCCCAAAACCAATGTCCCGCCCTGTCAGCACCGGGCCAGCCCCGCGTGGTCCCCCGGGACCCTCCGAGGGGCGATCACAGCTCCTCTCCCCCCGAAAAAGCTCCTCTTGGGGAGCCCGGAGGGATCCGGGGCTCGGCATCTGCCGGCTCCGAGCGCTCTCCAGAAAAATCCTCCCGGAGACCCCTCGATAGAGCCGGGGCGAGCTCGGCCTCCCCCTGCCCTGCGGCTCGGGGCTGGGGCGATGCTGGCGGGGCAGGGGGTGCTGCAGCAGGATCCTACAGTGACATTTCACTGCCAGCCTTCATAACTTCATCCCTGTGTTGTTGCAGCTCATGGATTGGGAATGAAATCAGGGCAGGGCCTTTGGTGGGAGCTGCCCTGGATCAAGGGAAACACTGAGAGAGAAACAGAGCAGGCAAAGAGGGGCCGGAGAGAAAGGAGGACACAAACACAATCAGCTGAGAAGGTGGCACTGTGAAAACAGAACTGCAATGGACTAAAAATTAATGCGACAGAAAGAAATAATTTTGTAATTTCCTATCAAAACACATTTTCCTCCGTTTCTCACCAACCTTGTCCTGGTGTCATTCAGCAGGGCTGTCAGAAAGTTCATCATTCTGAGTGGATGTTCCAGGCTGCAGCCACAAGGAAACAGGGAATGGGGATTTTCCTGCTCCTGGGGAGTGAAACACTGATGAAAAATTAAACCCTACAATTTTAATAAAGATTTGTAGAGAATGGGTATGCTTATTTATAACGCTGTGGACGCATGTCCATTAAAGGGCAATAAGTCCTGACATACGTCCACAGTGCTATAAATAAACATACCCATTCCCTACAAATCTTTATTAAAATTGTAGGGTTTGATTTTCATCCGTGTTTCATCATGGCGAGCCAGGCAGGAGATTTTCTGTCCTCGCAGGGGCAGGGGGTAGAACAGACCTCCTTGGCGCACCCGGGGAATTTCCCTGGAGGGGCTCCGCTCTGCCTCGCTTGCCACCTGCGGAGACAGCCAAGGAGCGCTGGTGTGCGATAAAGGGACGGACTGAGAGGGCCCTGGGGTGCCAGAGCAGCACTGCTGGGCAGTCCCTCAGAGCCGGCAGGGCCCGGCCTCGCTCCTGGGCCTGAGTGCCCGCGGGGAAGGGAAACAAGCGGAGAAACGGGGCTGAGGACGTGCACTGTGTTTAAAGGCGGTGATTTGTGTGCATTTGAACAGTGGCTAGACGAACTGGGCGGGTTCCTCTGCCCCAGTGGTTCGGACTTGGATTCCTGGAATTTTACTGTGTGCTGTTATGCTGTGCTGTGTTGAGAAAAGGGGACACTTTAAGAGATACCACCAGTGAGTTTCCCAGTGAGTTTGTGTGATTCTTCCCCCACATTATAGTATTTTAATTCTCGAGATTATATAGTTGCATTTATAGAGATTTTAAGATTTTTTTTGCAACAAGTGTAGCATTTTATGCAGAACAGCTACACTATAATGATTTATGTTTAACTGTAGCAAAACAAATCAAAGGAATTCCAAGAATTCCTCCCTCACAACAACTTAAGCCCTGACTGTCCCTGAATTTGAGATAAGGACAGGGTTCTGTGTTTGTGAGCATATCAGAGTTTTTGCTGTAACAGGCACAGCCTTTCGCAGGGCAATGAAATAAGTGTCAGTAGAAACAATGCTTTAATTAGATTGTGCGAGAAGAGAACGAGAAAAGACTGAGATTTTGTAAAAGAGAGTTTAAATAAAGGAAAAATGCCAAAGTGATAAACGGAATAGCCTACAGGCAATTTCCGGGAGTTTTTGGTGCATTAAGAGGCTGGCACCTTGTATGAGTACTATTATAATGCAGAATTTGTGTGTTCTATGCCCCAAGTGTAAATTGAAGGCTCCTAATCAAGCCAATTCAGAACCTGAGATCTTAAAGCTTATGTGTAAATGATCGCATCTCATACCTGCGACCTGGAAAGTCTGTGTGTGAGAAAAACTGAAAAAAGACCATGAGGCTTGGGTAGAAACAAAATAGTATAAGCAATAAAAACTAACCAAAGCAAAGAGGTTCCCAGAAAGCCTCCAATAAGGGCAGCTCAGAAAACTAAAGGATTTATAACACCTTATTGCAACCAATGCTGTTTTAAGACAGGAAAGCAAATAAGGTGAGGTCTTGTATGCTAATATGTTTTTTCACCTCCAAGAATCACCCAAAATGTCAGAGTCACTGGGTTCAGAGTTCCTTCTGACCCACTGGTGTTAGCTCTTAAAAAAAAAAAAAAAAATATATAGCAAAGAGAAAGCAAATCAAATGTGTTGCTCAGCATGCAGTGTAAGACCTGTGCAGGTGAGGGCTGCGAGGGGCCGGGACCCGCCCCCGCCGGGATTCGGGCAGGTCTGGGCGAAATTCCCGAATTTTTGTGCGCAATTCCGGCGGGTATGGTCGAAATTTTCGTTTGTAAACTAGGATTTTCTTTCTCCTGCAATCTGTGGTTTTGCAATCTTTTCCCGGCTGCAGCTTGTGGTCTTTTAAACCTTTAAGAACCTTTTTGTACGACCACAACTTATTAATGTATATTTTACATAATCACAAATAATTCCATAACTTATAACAATGAGGCTGCAGAGATCCCCCTGCAGGTTCACGGGTGTGAAAAACACCAATCACTTGGTTTTTAAAATTTTAAAATTTGATAATAATAAAATGGTTATAAAAATAATAGAGTAATAAAGTTTAGAGTTAGGGCAATTACAAGACAATAAAAAGCAAAGAATTATGGACGTCCGGATGCTCTTGGACACTAAGTCACGGAAAGCATGACTTGTGAACAAAGGAATCACCCTTAAACCAATACACTGTTGCATATTCATACATCCTTCATGGTTATGCATACATTCTATTCTAAACAAGAAACTCTGTCTGTTGTAGGTCAGCTGTTTCCTTTAATCCCCTGGCGTCCTGGAGTCTGAGCAAGGCCTGAAGAAATTAACTTCTTCTGATAAGAAGCCATAAATTCCTCTCCTTTGGAAGACTGAGGTGTTCCTCGAAGCGAGTGTCTCATTCCTAAAAAGAAAACTCCCCCCACGTACATAGTCTCTATTTTAATATTATGTTGTAACCTAAAACTACACTTAACACAATATGTAAGAGAATTAATACAGCATAACTTTCTAACATGACACATATAATATTCATTGTTACATTTGCAAAAAGCCAGTCATAAATATGCATTTGTCACAATCCCTCCTCTTATTCTTTATAAATCATTTGGCTTGAGCAATATTTCTTATCCTCTTGCATTCTTTGGACTCTGTTGGTAATCAAATAAAACATGGGATTAAACAAAGAAGAAATATCAAAACACTTGTAACACATAAAAGGAAGAATCCTAATTTCTTCCACCATCCCATTCTCAATACATTACCCCACCTGTTAGTTTTTAACATTATTTTCCCTTTGGTTGTTTTTGGACTGATACCAGGGTCATAATTTTTTTCTGATATCCTTTGTTTTTTCCAGGATGACGCCCTCATTGCCATCTATTTTCAACAATCTGTACACCCCATTCTTTAGCCAATAAATAGCGTAAAGCCAACCTATTTTAATACACTGCAGTTATAGTTTGGCTTTGCTGACTCAGTATTAATTCCAGTGCCTGAGCAGCTTTGTTTGTTATCTCCTCTATAACTGCTTGGAGTCCTATAATACGATGCAGTATATAATTTGGGGTTAATACAGAGCTAGATTGCTGTGCTGGTTTCACCTTTTTGTTTACTAATTGCCTTTTTACCGAATCTTGGACTATATCTCTAAGATCAAATGTAAAACAAATCCATCTCTCTCCTTTTGGACATTCCATGCCCCAAGTATTACTACTTTTTCCTAAGTTCCTTGTAATCCAATATTTTCCCCATTTTGCCTGCAGGTACTCAGTTTGGGTGGGTCTGTGGCTGTTGACATGGGTGTGTGTAACAAAAAGGAACTTTGGTTCCTTTCCGTGTAATACTTTCTGTAGCATTTGGGACACGATCTTGCTGGTATCTCAGAAGGGAAAAGACAACAAATGAGAGACAGAAACAGGAATGACAGAGGTCTGGCATGGCTTATACCCCCACCTCCCCTGCCTGTGGGGTTGCTTCCCACAGCAGGTACGTGTGATCTTCTCGGTGGTGAGTACAGTGCTCAGTCCAGGCTTGCCCTCTGTTTCCCTTGTCACTCCTTTTTACTCATTTTTTTAGGCAAGTCCTTTTCGACACTCCTTAACTGTGGTTTCCCACTGTTCCTCAGGTATCTCTCAGTCAACAGGCACTAATAACTCCCATCCACAAAACAAAGTTATTACTTCAGTTTTTGAGTTCTTTCTGTATAGGGGATTGATTCAGTACTCGATACCTCTTGCAACAAGAACATAGATTTTGTGAACTACAATGCCAATTATTCTCATAATTTAAACATTCACTTGTAACCCAGCTAGCGTGTCCAGTATTGGGATGAATCACATAAAGTATACAGTGTAGTACTGATGGCAATTTCCCTTCTTCCCTGTACAAGCCACAGGCTGAGGCCAGGCTATAAGAACTCTTTGACTGAAACACTCCCGACCCTCCTGTTTGAAGTGGCAGTGTTCCTCTGCCAAGGAGGTGTCGGAGGCGTCTCAGGGTTTATTCAGGCCGGGCTTAGAACCAGTGATGCAAGCTTTGCCTTATTTCTCAGTGAGGTGTTATTCTTTGTACCTGCCTTGGATCATTTGGGTCTTCCCAAACCATTACCACCCAGTCCTGGTTGGAAGTCAATTTGGTATCACCCAGTTTAGATGTGATAGTCCATTCCTCAAGTTTCTTCACAAGTCCTTTGGTTTTGCTGGCATGAATTCACCCTCTTTCCGTGGTTTGGATTGCTGCTTTAATGGTACCTGGAAAGGATTTCTTAATAACACAGTGTTAAAAGAAAAACAATACTGCATGAACTTTTACCATTAGTTTTCTTTAAAACTTTCTGAGTTTAACTAAACTCTTTTTCTACAGCCACTTCTTCTTCTTGTATCCAGCTGTGTTAATATCTGCAGAGACCAATTCTTCTTCCTGTGAGCTATAATTAGTTAAATAAAAAAGACCAGGCCAATTTTAACATGAGATGTATCACATCTCTTGCCTTTTACTTTTTGGGTAACATTTAACTGTTTTAGTCTTACAGACTTTAAGTCTTCAGAACAAAAGCCTTCTCTTCTTAACAACAGCAATCAGAAAGAAAAAAGAAATCTTGCTTAAGACAATAAACCACTTTGTGAGAGTCACTATCTCTGCCTTGATCTTATCTCTACTGGTGGTCCTGTTCACAGCCTTGGGTTTAACTCTGTCCTTCCCCACTTCCCCCCTCCTTGTTGTCACTCTGCCTAGCAGGAATGGGGGAGAACTTACAGATAGCTGTGGCTGAGGGGACCTTGGGGGTGTATTTCGCTCTCCCCTTCGCTCTCTTTCTCTCTCTCTCTCCCTTTCTATCTCTTTCTCTTTCTTTTTCTCTCTTCACATTTCAGCAGCCACATTCCAATATCAGTCCACTTTCTAACATTAATCCTACATCCTGGAGAGGTGAGTCTGCCAATCACCTCTCCCCCCTTTTTCAACTTCCTTACAAAGTAAATTACTTTTGTTATGCGTGTTCTGCAGGCCTGTAATTCACGGCACCCTCCACCAAGGCTACCAGCCACTCACAGCTGACAGTGCACAAATAAAGACTTGGTTTGCTATCACAATTTTTCCATTCACAAGCTTGAAAAGGTTGCAGGAACAAAGTAAACAACAACTTACTTCCAAAGTGACCCTGCCTGCACCAAAACAAATTTAAGGCAATGCTAGTTAGTGCAATGCAATTTGCAAGGAAGCCAAGGTTTGATTTGGGAAGGCCATCTGAGGACACAGAGCATGAGTTTTACAAATCTGTATTTTGAAGAGGGAATGGACAAAATATGAATAGAGTTGAGGGCAGGGGGAGGACAGCAAGTGAGGAATTTTTCTCTGCAATACTCTCTTTTCGACTGCCAGGAAACACTCTAACACTCTCTCCAAGGAGATAAAGAAAAGCTCATAAAAAACAATCTACATTACATATACTACCATTCATCTACATTTACTCACTTTTATTTTTCACTAACTCTCACATACAACAAGAAGATACTTTTTACTTTCAAACAGTCTACATTACTTATCTACACCCTGAGTGCTGTTGGAATGTTAATCCCTCAACCCAGCAGGTTTGAATCCTGGATGCTCTTGGGCACTCTTATCCCTCAATCCGGCACTCCACGGGGTTCCTCTTCTTCCTAAGATCCAGTCCCAGTTTCTCTGGGAGGGATTCTCTCTTTTTTATCACTCGCTTGGTCTCTTTACTGGCCGTTTTTCACATGAAAAAGACGAAAAGCAGCATGAGAGACTACAGCAATCACTTGGCAAGTCTGGGATACCCAGCAGCTTCTGTCACACACATTCATTCCCCCCTTATCCGCCCCATCCCAACAAATACTCACCTATCCTTTGTCCTTGGGTCTTGGTTCTTCGTGTACACTTTAGTCTTGGGGCTAATTACTGCGGTTTTAGGGAATGCTTTCCCTTTTCTTTGTTTTATTGTCTCCTTTTGCCCATAGATCATAACCTGTGTCTGGTCACACACCAGGGGAACAGAGCGAGGCTGCCTAAATAGGGCAGGACCCGTCTTCCTCACCCTGACTCTCCAAGGCCCCGGCAGAGAGGTGTTAAAAACCATCCTTTGCTACCATAATTGTGAAAAACGCCAATCACTTGGCTGTTAAATTTTTAATAATAATAACATGGTTATTAAAATAGTAATACAATTAGAGTAATAAAAATTTAGAGTTAGGACAATTACAAGACAATAAAAAGCAAAGAATTAAGGATGTCCAGATGCTCTGGGGCACTTAAGCCACAACAAGCATACCTTGTGAACAAAGGAATCACCCCTAAAACTACACTATTGCATATTCATATATCCTTCATGGTTATGCATACATTCTATTTAAAACAAGAAACTCTGTCTGTTATAT